TATTTACTCATGTTGCCACTTTCAGGGAGTTATGGACTTGATCCCCAAGATCCCACTGTACATCAATGCTGTTCAGGGTCCTGCCATTAAATGTATACAATTCCTTAACATTTGATCTCCCAAAGTGCAGCACCTCACACTTACCCAGATTAGATTGGGATTATATTCATTGGAATTCAGAAGATTGAGGGGGGATCTTATAGAAACATATAAAATTATGAAGGGAATAGATAAGATAGAAGTAGAGAGGATGTTTCCACTGGCAGGTGAAGCTAGGACAAGAGGGCATAGCCTCAAGATTAGAGGGAGCAGATTTAGGACTGAACTGAGAAGGAATTTCTTCACCCAGAGGGTTGTTAATCTATGGAATTCCTTGCCCAGTGAAGTAGTTGACGCTACTTCAGTAAATGCTTTTAAAAAAAAGGTAGATTTTTTTTGAACAATAAAGGAATTAGGGATACGGTGAGAACACAGGTAAGTGGATCTGAGTCCACAAAAGGATCAGCCATGATTTTATTGAATGGTGGAGCAGGCTCGAAGGGCCAGACGGTCTACTCCTGCTCCTAGTTCTTGTGTTCTTATGTTCTTAAACTCCATCTCCCATTTATCCGTCCTTATCTGCAACTGATCTATATCCCACTGTATGCTTTGGCTAACCTTCTACACTATCCACAACTCCACTGATCTTTGTATCATCTGCAAACTTACTAACCCATCCATCTACATTTTCATCCAAGTCATTGATATATGTCATAAACAGCAGAGATCCCAGTACGGATCCCTGTGGATCACCACTACTCACGGGTGACTAGCCTGAAAAACACCCTTCCACCACTGCCTCTCTGCTTTCTGTGGGAAAGCCCATTCTGAATCCACGCAGCCAGGTCACCGTGGATCCTCTGCATCTTAATCTTCTGGATGAGCCTACCATGAGGGACCTTGTCGAAAGCCTTACTAAACTCCATGTAACTAACATCCACTGCTCTACCCTCATCAATCACCTTTGTCACTGCCTTGAAAAATTCAATCAAGCTAGTAAGACATGACCTGCCCTGCACAAAACCATGCTGACTGTCCATAATTAGGCCTTGCTTTTCCAAATGTGCGTAAATCCTATCCCTAAGAATTCTCTCCAATAGCTTCCCAACTGCTGATGTGGGTCTCACAGTCTACAGTTTCCTGGATTTTACCTATTTCCCTTTTTGAACAGGGGAACACTAGCTACCCACCAGGTCTTCCGTGACCTCTCCGGGGGCTAGTGAGAGGATACAAAGATCTTGGTCGAAGACCTAAAAATCTTGAAAGTGTGAACCCCCCCTAGTTATTAACATCCCCAACAGTAAAATAAGATTTACTTTAAGGTGTTAAATGTATTGATAATACCTACAGTACACAACATACTTTCTCCTTGACTCAGTTCAAAGAATTTAATAAAAGGGTTAAATATATTGATGGACTGGCGCACACACACACACACACACACACACACTGGGTGTATCGAGTTCCTTCTCCCTGGGTCGAAATTCTGAATTAAACAGTGAACATACATAAACTGACATACGCACATTGCACAAAGTTCCTTCACCCCTACCCCCCACCCTCAGATTTATGAATTAAGGAGATTACAATCTATCTATCTGTGCTATCTGGTTGTTAAAGGGTCTGGAGCTGATGAATTTTAATGACCAGCCAGATACTCACTGACCTGTTGCTGCTGTGCCCCAGCTCTTGTTGCTTGCTGCTGGGGTCTCTCTCTGGGTCCCCCCGGGCTGTTGGTACCGGGGGCTGCCCGGGACACTGTCCGGCTCCGGGTTGCAGGCTTCCTGCTGCAGGGCTGCCCTGATACCGGCCAGGAGCCGGGGGAAGGTGAGCCTCCCGGACGGCGCTGCTGCTCTCCGGAGGCAGGCCATCAACCCGGCAGGCAGCGCCGCCTCCCTCCGTCCTTCCCCCGGCCAGCGGCTCTCAATCTCCCGCAGCTCGACCGATCCCCGACCCTCCTGGTCCAGGATGTCGAACAGGGTCCGCAGGCTGACCAGGAACGAGCGGGGCTGCGGGTCCCGGTGCTGGAGATGGGGGTCCCTGGGGTGGAGGTGGCGATAGGTGTCTCGGGGAATGGGCTCCCGCAGGTAGGGGTCCAGGGGAAAGGGGCACAGTGGGTGATGGTCCGGGGGTTGGGGTCGTGGGTCCCAGGGATGGGTCTGGGGGTCCCTGGGATGGGGCTGGGGATGAGGGTCCCTGGGATGGGGCTGGGGATGGGGGTCCCTGGGATGGGGCTGGGGATGAGGGTCCCTGGGATGGGGCTGGGGATGGGGGTCCCTGGGATGGGGCTGGGGATGGGGGTCCCTGGGATGGGGCTGGGGATGGGGGTCCCTGGGATGGGGCTGGGGATGAGGGTCCCTGGGATGGGGCTGGGGATGGGGGTTCCTGGGATGGATCTGGGGATGGGGGTTCCTGGGATGGATCTGGGGATGGGGGTCCCTGGGATGGGGCTGGGGATGAGGGTCCCTGGGATGGGGCTGGGGATGGGGGTCCCTCGGATAGATCTGGGGGTCCCTGGGATGTGATTGAGGGTCCGCGGAGTGAGGGTGGTGGTGGGAATAGGGTTCCCTGGGATGAGTCTGGGGGTCCGGAGGGTAGGGATGAGGCTCCCGGGACAGGAGATGGGGGTCCCGGGGCTGGGGATGGGGGTGGGGGTCCCTGGGATGGAGATGGGGATGAGTCTGGGGGTGGGGTTGGGGGTCCGGAGGACAGGGATGGCGGTCCCGTGAGTGGGGGTCCCGGGGCTGTCTCTGCCGGGCCTCCCGTTGCAGCTCCAGCTCCTCGGGCTGGCTCATTGCTGCAGCACACCCCCGGGGCAAGGGAAGGAGAACCTGCCTCACCCTCTTCCCCCCTCACCCCTCGGGGTCTTCCTTTAGACAGCAGTCCCACACTCAGCTCTCCCTGCTCCTGGCTCTGGGGCTGGGACAACAATCCTGGGGCGGAGAGCTGAGATTTGGAAAGGGGTGGAGACAGAGCTGGTGGATGGTGGTGGGGTGGGGGTGCGGTGTGTGTTTGTTTCTGTGTGTGTGTGTGTATACGCGCTTTTAACTACTGTCCTGGGTGTGTTCGTGTGTCCGTACATGTTTGTGGAGAGCAAATCATTATTTACTTTCAACTCATGCAGGCGCCTTTGTAAAACCCCTGGGTTTCAAAACAGCTCTTTCTCATTCCACTGTGCAGTTTTAAAAGCACAGAATTAAAAGACACTGTGTATATTTGTGTGAGTGTGTGTTTTTGTGTGCATCCGCGTTGCATGCACTTAGAATCATAAAAGTCACAGAGATGTACAGCACAGAAACAGACCCTTTGGTCCAACTCGTCCATGCCGACCAGATATCCTAAATTAATCTAGTCCCATTTGCCAGCATTTGGCCCCTCTAAACTCTGCCCATTCAGATGAATTTTAAATGTTGTCATTGTACCAGCCTCCACCACTTCCTCTGGCAGCTCATTCCATACACGCACCACCCTCTGTGTGAAAAAGTTGTCCCTCAGGTCCCTTTTATATTTTCCTCCTCTCACCTTAAACCTATGCCCTCTAATTTTTGACTCCCCTACTCTGGGGAAAAGGCCTTAGCTAATCACCCTATCCATGCCCCTCATGATTTTATAAACCTCTACAAGGTCACCCCTCAGCCTCCGACGCTCCAGGGAAAATAGCCCCAGCCCATTCAGTCTCTCCCTGTAGCTCAAACCCGCCAACACCAGCAACAACATTGTAAATCTTTCCTGAACCCATTCAAATTTCACAACATCCTTCCTACAGCAGGGAGACCGGAACTGAACACAGTATTCCAAAAGTGGCCCTAACCAATGTCCTGTACAGCCCCAACATGACCCTCCCAACTCCTCTACTCAATGCACTGACCAATAAAGGCAAGCGTACCAAACACCTTCTTCACTGCCCTGTCTACCTGTGACTCCACTTCCAAGGAACTATGAACCTGCACTCCAAGGCCTCTTTGTACAGCAACATTCCCCAGGACCTTACCACCAAGTGTATAAGTCTTGTCCTGATGCAACACCTCACATTTGTCTAAATAAAACTCCATCTGCTACTGCTTGGCCCACCAGCCCTAAGTAACTGAATGTGACCCCTGTACATGTGTGTTTTTGTATCTGTCAGACATGGGTTTTGTGTCTGTGCATGTGTGTGTTTGCGCACCTGCCTGTGTGTTTTTGTGTGTGTGGATGTGTCTGTACGCATATACCAAACATCATGTGATAAGGTGCTGCACATACAGCTACTTAATAAAATAACTCTCAAATGCTGGGAGTTTAGAAGAATAAAGTTGGGTCAAGGAGGAAATTTTCAGGC